TTGAGCTGAGTATATGCGAGTATGTATATATGTATTTTCCATGATATTAAACTGGGTTAGTCTCTGACGTGCCAGTCAATGGGAAATGAGGTTCGGGGAAAACAAGTGTCCTGCCTGTTCCCATTGCCCTCATTTCATTTCTTTGGTTTCCAAGAACTCATAAATTCTGCAATCTAATGCGAGACCAAGGGCCAATGTGAAATTATTAGTATTTCACTTACATAAATACGAACTCAAATAGTAGTTACGAGCACGCACACTCCAATAATCAATAATTTAACCACAGTCAATGACCGCCAGAGAATGACAACTTTGTAGATTGCAGAAAGTCCATTCCCTTTTTTCGCCAACTTGCGACGGTTGAAAACACCAAGTTACACGCCGGGCTCTTCTTAACCTGATGTTTCTACCGGAGTTCAGGGCTGCTGCTTTTTCTACTCTCACTGGCGTATGCAGCATCGAATATTTCTAGGCTGCAGGGTTCCTATCCGTTTAGCCAGCGTAAGCGCTGCCACTCAATTCGCTAAACTAGGTCAGGGTTCCTTCTTCCTTTTTCTTAACCTTCTGACAAGTACTCATCAGATGTTGCCATTTTCCATACCTTTGCACCATATAACAAGGCGAGAATCATGACAGACTTGAAAAGTTCGGTCGTTGATCGTCAAGAGAGCACTTTATCTTTCATTTTTCCACTCAGTTCAAAGTAGTATCCATTGGCAAGAGTGGCTCTGTGTTAGATTTCAAGGTTAGAAGCTCGAAAGCTTGTATGTTTGCTCAAACAAATGTCACTCGTAACAATTGGAATGGTCTCCATACCCGGAACTTACACCCGAGCTCCACCCAAAAGTGTAAAAAGGGAAATGATCATTCTGAACCAGCTCCATTTTTTTAATATGAAGCTCAAGACCAAGTTTTTTCATGAATACATAGCTTAGACACGATCATTGGAGCCCGTCGATGCTTTGAAAGCATGACAACGTTCGTTACTAGACCCAACTGATTCGCTAGTCACATAATTGCACTGCCATTTATTTAGCGAAATTCAGAAGTTCTCACTCCATGAATTAGGTACTCGTTCTTGAAACCGGAAGCAATTCCTTTTTTTACATTGCGATATGGCAATACGATGTGGTGTTTTCTTTGGACTTGTCTAAAATCACAGGTTGTATTACGTTTTTGTGCTGAAATTTTACTACAAAGAACCCCTATTTCAGATCCGGTAAAGTCAATCAACCTCTCCCCATTCGAGTATGTTAGATTTCCCGACCATCGTATCAAAGATGCCTACTTTTCCAAACTGCCGATAATGTCATAAAAAACTATTTTGAGATCCTAGCGAGGGAAGAGCTCAGTACTTTGATGAAGGTTCTGGTTAGACGTTTATCTGCGGGATTAATTACAGGACTCAGCGAGTGAGTCTCAGAAATCGGTCTGGGTAATGAAGGTATACTTTTAGTCGTCAACGAAACAGTCTGCACTTATGCGACTCTCGAAAAAAAATCTTACACCAAATTCTTGCTCTTTATATGGCCGCTGTAGTCCTTGTTCCATCCATTGTATTCCTCGAAAAGCGGTGATATCAATATTTACTTGTACGAGCCATTGTTGATTTTTTCATAAGAGCAAGTTTCTAGATGACGGATCCCCTCGGGGAGTTGGAGATATTAATTGAAAACCATTTAAAGCGTAGGTCCGCCCCTCCTTAGCAGCCGCACCTCTGATCAACAGACCCTTAAACGAAATATGACGCAGTGGCTCCACTGAAGTTTCCTTACTTTTTATTACGACCAGAGACTCAACAGAGGTTGGTTAAGGCATCTTTGCATAAAACTTGACCACATTTTTAGGGTGCCCAGCGAGTGTAACTGCATACCCAAAGGTCCGACCACACTAGAGTTGAACTCATAAATTTAAATTTTTCACATTCATCGGAGCCAACATTAATTGCTATCGGAAAACAGTGTCAATTTAAATATTAAAATGAGTGTCCTAGTACACTTCGCGTGTCAACGGTAGCATGATTTAAACATTAATCTGCCTTTTTTACAGTTAGTTGGTATGCGCTTAAAGTTATCTACAAAATCCAATTATTATACTAAAACTTTTCATGAAGAATTCTGAAACGAAAGGCCAAGACACCTGCAGTACAATTTTCCATTATTTATAGATATATTTATATGTATATATATTATGCATGCATATCCAAACAACAAATACACTTGAATACCTACTACTATGTGTACGAATATAATGCATTGTCGTGTTATTATAAAAAATTACTTGCAAAATCTTCACTTCCTAAACTAACACATGCACACACACATCCAACCACTCAAACACCTTTCGACTCCCACCTATAGTTGTAGCCTTTATCGGAGAAAGCGTGTGACCTGCATAACGGCTTACAAGCAGATTTCTATATTGATAATCCGCAGCTGAGTCTCGCCCTGTCACGTTTATGACCGACTCAGCTGTGGCGCACCCAAGCAAGCAGGCAGATAATATTGCAACTGGTCCGTGGGTTATTGCATTTGCACGGAGTGGATTTGTTTATATATATGTGTGTGTAGCTGCATTTCAAGTTTATTGCGAGAACATGAGATTATAGCTGCCAATTCCGTTGCACCCAATGGGCGGGCTCACCCGCATGTTCAGCGTTTGTGTAACTTAATTAAAACGACAAAGCCACTAGTAGTCGACTCGCCACAAGGCGATGCCAGATATATATACATACAAATAGACTACTGAGGTGGTGTCGTAAGTCAAAATTAAATAGAATAGAATAAAAGTTAAAAAAAAAATTATTGAAATAAAAAGAAATAAAAATAAATTAAACTAAATAAAATTAAATAAAAAAATTAAATAAATTAATTTAAAATAAATTTAATTAAAAAAGGAAATATGAAAATAAAGGAAATAAAATAAAATAAATAAAACTATAATAAATTAAATTCAAAAATATAAAAAACAAATTAAGAAAATAAAATAAAATAAGATGAAATGAAATAAAATAAAATAAAACAATCATACATTAAACACAATGAAATAAAAAAATTAAATAACATAATACAAAAAAAATACAATAATTTAACAAAAAATAAAATTAAGTTAAATAAAATAATTAAATACAAAATAGAACACAATAAAACAAAACAATAAAATAAAAGACAACAAAATAAAAAAATTTAATTACTTTAACTAAAATAAATTAAATGAAAAAATAAGAAAAATAAAATAAAAAAATTAATAATAAATAAAATAATACAAAATAAAATAAACTAAATTAATACAAAATAAAAAACGCAATTACAAAAATAAATAAATTAAATTAAATAACAGAGCATAAATAAGTGAAATAAAATAGAATAATTTAAAAATAAAGTAAAGATAAATATTATTCATACCAAATAAAAAAAATAAAATAATATAGATCAAAATAAGATAAAAGGATAATATTATAAAAATAACTTAAATTAAATAAAACTAAATTAAATTAAATTTAATTATATTTAATGAAGTATTATAATATAAAGTGATTAAAATAAAGCAAATAAAAAAATAAAATAAAATAAAATGAAATAAAATAAAATAAAATGAAATAAAATAAAATAAAATAAAATAAAATAAAATAAAATAAAATAAAATAAAATAAAATAAAATAAAATAAAATAAAATAAAATAAAATAAAAAAAAATAAAAAAAATAAAAAATAAAATAAAATAAAATAAATAAATAAAATATCATAATATAAATAAATAAAGAATAAAATAATACAACAAATAGTAGTATAAAATTAAATATAAAAAAAATGTTAAATTAATATGGTTGTTATTGTTTTCCATTATTAATGGCATAACTTCACCTGCATATTTAAATAAAAGTTCTATCATTTATTTCAAAAATACCATTCTTCTTTGCATATCGAAATAGCACCCTTTATTAGAAAATAACTGTTTAAACTTAGGTAATTTTGATCTCAATAAAATTCTATTCAATGTAAATTCTTGTCTATCTTACTGAATAATCAGCTTACCGATCTAATGATGTTAAATTGATTTAATTTATATAATCAAAAAACAAAAAATTCTTAAATAAAATAAATCGGATTCAACGTTTCGGGCGGCTCGCGCAATGACCACATGACCAACTTCTAACTTCCTCTTTGAATGGTATGTAAGGCATTTTGTGTCGCGTAGTACTGTTCATTCTGTCATTTATCTTCCTCCTCCATGCTATTTTGTTTTAGTTTCATTATTTCCATTTTTACAGTGTACTCTTTCCATACCCTGCTGATTCTCGTTTCTCTTGTTAAAGGCGCATACTCGTAAATGGGAAATGCATTCAGGCCAGCAAATTATAAGCCATTGTTATCCTTTTCACCAGCTGCCATTATTTACTACACGCTTTTTTGTGCTTGTAGTCCGTTCGTTTTACATGCGCAATTCATTTATTATTATTTCATTTTTTTCCATTTTCACATCCTGCTTTGGAGGATTACCTTGTAGTGCGCGGCTAATGGAATACGAATGTATGTGTGTGTAGTTGTGTGTGTACGTGTGGGTGTCAGCTATCGGCCGCTTTATTTGGTTTTTTGATCTCGCTGATTTATTATCAGGTTCTTCAGGTATTTGCATGAGTGTACTTAAGGGAATTAAGTTCATGTAAGAATGAGTTCGCATTAGCTTTGCATGGCTCTTACAGTGTGTTGTGAAGAGAGTTTGATGGTTCGAGAGAGCTTATGGAATTACTTGAGAATGTATCAATAATAATAATATTAAGTAGTTTCGTGGCGGATTATGGATATCAACAAATCTAATACAGAATATTAAGCAATATGATGGGAAGTATCCGGAGTCTACGAAGATTTCCGGAATTTTTTTGACAGCTTCCCATTGAACTTTGACCTCTTCATGAATATTCAGAATGTTTTTTGCCTCAAACTCTAGACTTTTGCAACATTTTTCGCTTCAAATCAAGTTTCTGTGTTCATTGCATTTCAGAATATGTGGCGCTGCAGTGTGTGCCGACGAAAGATGGCCTCCCGTGTGTGCATTCCGCAAGACTCTACAGACTCCATGTTGGACGTGCCCGTGCTGGAAGCCTTGCAGCGACGTCACTCCGATGCTAAGCTCGGCTCAACACAGACACTGGCCCCCGCCAATGGTACCGCCTTGGCACCGCCACGCAGTCCCGAATGTCGTCGACATTCCGATGTCTCTCCCGCCTCTCTTAAAGAACTCGAAAAGGTAAGCGATGTTCCAGCAATTCTGTGTGTGTCTGCTGCTGCTGTAGTGCTTGCGTGTTGTTTTTTTTTTGTTGCTTATTAATTTCTACAACAAAATGCTTAGTTCGCTCTGCTTTGCTTTACTTTACTTTGGTTTGCTTTGCTTTACGTTTGGTTGAGTTCAGCTATTTTGTTGTTGTTGTTCGTTTATGTTCACTGAAATTTGTGTTTGCGTTTGGGTGAGTGTGTTTAAGAGTGGGCGTGGCATAAAAGCGTGTAGAGGATCAAATCAAACTCACTTTCCGTACCTTCCGTACTCCACTTTTCGTACGCTTCGTACCAATCAAAAACCAATACGCGAATGCACGCGCCGTCCCGCATACAAACGTGTATATATACATATATATATATATATCTGTATATGTGTTGACCGCGAACGCTACACACACACATAAAAACCATCACTACCACTCCCACGCTGGTGATATCCACACCCACCCACACCCAACCCACAACCTGAATGCATATTGCAAAATGCAGTTGAAGGGCAATAAAACACCGGGCGGTGATTTGGACTTTCGTAAGGGTGGACGCAGCATGGCGCCGAGTCGTTCATCGAGCCCGCCACGACAATCGGAGTTGGATGCTCAGCTCCCTTTCGGGGCGCCCCTATCACGGATGGCATCGAGACGTGGCTCGCGTGTGGCGCGGCAACATAGCTATGATGATGAGATGAATAGTTCGGCAATGGGAGCGGCTGGTGGGGCTGGAGCTTTGGGAGCGGCAGCTGGCGCTTTGGGCATGGCAGGCGGTGATCCGGGACTAGGCATACCGGCAATGCCAAGAAGGTAAGTTTGAAAATGGGTTGCTGCAAAAGAGTTCATTTTAATTTGTATTCTTCGTTTACTCTCTCTCTCCCTCCCTCTCTCCCTCTCTCCCCCTCTCTCTCTCTCTCGCTCTCTCTCGCTCTCTCTCTCTCTCTCTCCCTCTCGCTCTCTTTTGCTTTTTTCGTTCTTTAGGAAATCCGCATATGACGTCTTTGCACCAAATCTACTACAGAGTGCTACACCTGCCGCGACTCAATTGCAACGATCACCGGGTGACGGTATGTCGCCACAGATTGCGCTACCCGGCTCGAGGAGACCCTCCTTTCGTGTGCCACATCCCTCGGAAGATTTGCAAAATGACGAATCTCCAAGTCCGGATAAGGGCAGTCCTGTACTAACGGTGGATGATGATAGACGCATACGAAGACGTGGATCACAGCTGTGAGTAACATATTAAAACAAGAAAATTTCTCCAAAAAAAAATTGTAGAAAAATATTTCTTCTAAGTTTCGCTGAATATTGAAGTCTGCCAAGCTTTTTACTAGTCTCACATTCATAAATCGTGTCTTCAAAAACAGATGCGTTGTCTAAGATCTTTTGAATGCTAGAATGTTAAGTTCTTCCAAACTCAATCTAATATACCGACTTACTAGCCGATACTGAGACCCAGTTCCGAGCGACTCTCTCATCCTTTTTCTAGCCATCTTTATTAGAAAGATTTGCAGGTCAACAAAGAATGAAGTGTTGAACTTGGAACCGAAGATAAGAAGGCATTGTACTTTCCAGTAATGAAATAATATAAAGTGATTGAATTGAAATATCTTAAGGGTGTCCCAAAAGCTTCCCTAAACAGACTTTAAACAATCTTTTTATTCATGAAAAAAACATTATGCTTTGAGCATCATCTACCCCTATCAATCTTTTCCCTTTCAGACCCGATTTAGCGGCGTTACAGCAGCGCGGTGCATTACCCACCAATCTGCCAGCCACCATACCACCACCACTTGCCGCTTTTACTGGTCCCAATTTGGAGGATTTGGAGGCACCGCGACGTCAAACATCGATGGATGGTGAAGCCATCAAAATTGTCATACACGATGTGGACTCGGGTCCGATTTGCTCATCAAAACGAAGAATTGTCTTGCGTAGAGATCCAACAGATAAGGCGCATCGCAGTAAGTAACATTGCTTTTAAGCTGAAAAAGCTGTATTTTAATTAAAATAATAAATCAATTTGACGACGAAAAGGAGACCCTGCTGGCGTCAAGAGCTTAAGATAGATTTATCTTACTTCAAATTAATTAATAAAACATGTTATTTTTATTTAGTTTCAAGATCTCGCTTGACTTCATGTATTTTTTGATACAAGAATTTCACTCTAAAATTGACAACAGAAATCTTTTTTAAACAAAAGCGGCCTACTCTGGGCACTACAACAAGTTGCAGCATAATTTCCTCGCTCTCTCATCTATAGTAAAGTCATGCAACCCTGTTGATAGTGCTGATTTCAACCTGTAAATTCTTGCCTTTTATTTAATGACCATAAATCATCGTAAAGTTTTTTTCAAAATTATTTCTTATGGCGTTGGGGCGGTGGACTACTCAAACTGCAGCGTGTTTTCTCCTCTGCTGAAGATTTTGTTCCTTAATAGTTTATGGAAGAAACCAAAGAACGGTATTGCCCTGTATGTTAAAGAGGCTCTCCTTGTTTGCCAAAGCTTCATATAGACGTGCCGACAGTGGCGGTCCTCCTAAAAAGAAATATGAAGAAACTGAACTAATGAAAGTGTACACAGAATACATATATATGGGAAATTTAGTGGGAGGAACCATCCTTGAAAACGGATGCAACCTTCCTTCGTTACATTACCGTCCTTCGCCTGGCCGCTTTTGGGCGATTGCTTCCTTCAAACCGTCCAATTGTTGGCAGTACAGTTCCAAGTTAAAGGTTTTGCCGTATGGGAACAGATAATTCCCTGCCTATCCCACGAAACACACAGCAAAACCTTCCTGGCCATCAATCCCGGCTTGGCCACAGTAGCAATTCGCAGATGGAAACTCGGTTCATGATGGTTTTTTTGTGTTAACTAGTGTGGCACCCATACATTAAGCTTCTTATCGTAGCCAGCCTTATTTAAATGGTCCCAAAATGGTGCAATCTTTAGTTCTTAGTCAATCGAAATTTTTGACCAGTGGCGTTCCACTCCCTACTTTAACGCTTGTACCAGCGTCGTTACCACTGAATCTGATGTTGCTTCCGCTAATTTAATAATTTCCGTACGGATCTCTTCACCTCTTGGCAGTTCACTGATGGCACTATCACCGACCAGCATATGGTGCAGTCTATCCATTTTGACGTGAAATATGAAGTCCCACTCTACGATCCACATGAAACGATTAGATCGACTTTAAGCTCAAGCTGAATTTATAGCTGAAACTACTTGGCCTACGAAATGAGTTGTTGAAACAGCATAAAAGCAACTACAAAGTAAAAAATAAAATACCATTTCCTTAAACAACACTCTCAAATGAGCCAAACGAGATTTAGATTTTATTTATTTCAGAGTTTTATTTGAAAACTTTTTGAAGAATCACTAGCTACTTTATCAAATATTAGGGTGATCAAAAAAAAAATGCAAAAAAGGATTCAATTATTTTTCAAACAATTTTAATTATTCAATTTACGACCTTTTAATATAAAATATTCAAGCCTGTGAACCACCCTGTTGAATAGAAAATATTTATAACAGTCACAGAGTTGCTGCAAAATTGAAATTTGCTCAATAGAATTGCAATCATAACACGACGCTGACAGTTGCAAAGAAATTAACAAAGGGAAATGTGAGAATTCTAACGAAATGTGCGCTGCTGCGCTCTGTTGATTGGCGCTTGCTGGCAACCAAAGCAGATGCCATCCAGTTACAGCTGTAAATACACACCTGCACACACACATATGGACAAGTGTGCTTACACACCCCTAAGCTTGCATTTTTGTTTGTCAGCAAGTGTAATGCTTTGGACTCTTCCTTGGCTCTAGATTTGGTGCTGAAGCATCCGTTGCCCGTGGTCGGTGGCCGTTTGATGTTCGTGGCTGCCATCCATGGCTTTGCAAATTTGTTGCTCGTCAAGTGTTCGAGTCTTTGAATAAATCGATTCTTTCGTTTTTTCTTCTAATCATTCGTTGGCATTGAACAAGTTCTCGGTTCTGCGATAGCTGCTGATGCTGGACATCGGTTGCCGGTTGACGCTTGCGGGTTGCTGGTGGCTGGTTACTAGTCGCTGGCGTTGAGTAGTGTGCAATGGAGCGCATTCGACTGGAAATGGAATGTGACAGCAGCAGTTGCTTCAATGTTATTTCATAGAAATTGTATAATGTTGATTAATTTAATGTAAATGGAAATGAACTTATCAAGTGGAAATTTAATGAACTCTCTTGTATTGTGATACGCCGTGAAGTACCCTGGATGGCGAAGTTATTGAATAGTGAACTTGTGAGGCTTAGATTTACTAAAGCAATGCAAGTTTTGTTACTTTTTCTTTATGATGCAACAACAACAGTTAGAGAAATACTATTCTGCAAATTTTTAATTTTACTTTGGGTAATTTCTAAGAGCGCTGGAATTTGAAAGTATTTTTTCCACTCTTCGTTTCCTCCTTGAGTGTGGCAAGCTTTGTGAGCATTTTTAGTATTAAAATTTTGAATTTTTTATCCGCATTTTCTCCAAGCTTTCTACAAAGTGTTCCATTATCATAAAATGCCTTTCCAAGAAAAGTGGTTCAGGCGATATTGAGGAGCTTGCTCAAGCTCCGAGTCTGAAACTGTTGGGCTTTTGATTATGAACCTAATTGAGTTAAGTTATTTGGAGTGCAGATAAGGTGATGCCAATGAACAGTAGAAGTCTAACTTATTTTTCTTTACTTGCGCAGATAATGAAATTTGAATGATTTTAACGCTGGAGCTCCTGCATCTTTTCATTCGACGACTTAAATCAATGTCACCTCATAACTCCTACATCTCCTCGTGTCGTCCCCGGCGGTATTCGCCGCAGCCAATGCGCTAAGGATCATAAATCGTTCGCAAAACTTTATTCTTAAAGACGCCCAAGGTCGACTAATCGGATGTCGACATCGTCCATGCTCCTGCACCTACAATAAGACGGGAATGATGAGTGACTTGAAGAGTTTGGTTTTGGTTCGTCGAAAGAAGACTTTACTTTTTGCTCCACTTCGCCTTTTTGTCGAGCTCGGAGAAGACTGCATTAACGGCGCGGTTATTAAGACCTATGATATCCATAGCATCGACATGTAGCCGCCGTTGTACAGTCCAATAGGAAACTATTTTCGACGGTGAGCTTTATTCTTTCACACAGTGCTTAATGCGAGAGGTCCCTCTATGAGATTGTGAGAGTCTAATTCTCTGGTGACTGAGACGGATCGTATACAAAGAGTTCCTAAACATCAAGCTTGCTTTAATTGGACCATATTCTGCGCAGAAACTGAAGCATACACCTTTTCAGGTCTTCGCTACCATATCTAATTAGCTCGGCCGGTAATCCATCGGCTCCAGCCTCTATGCTGTTTTTCAAGCGGTCAATTACTATTTGAACTCCCGCATAGTCGGACAACGAGACATCGAAAAATCAAGTTCGCCATCTCAAGGCGTTCCATTTAATAATATGAGGAAATATTTCCTTCATAAGTTCAGTATATTCTAGGCATCAGTCAGTAGATCAACTCTTCGGATCCTGCTTGAGTTGACTCCGCCTTGATCGGCCAGCTTCTTAAGCTCTTATACAAACGCATCTCGGCCTTCTTTCCTCTTGCGTTAGCGATGTCTACACCACTCTGCATGTATTATGGTGGATCGTAACATTGCGAGGTAGGTAGTCCCTTTGACCTTCCCGAAGTACAAAAGTTTGTTTTCTTCTTTACCTTTGGTAGCTGAAAATGCTGATGAGTGCTCCTAGAGAAGGGAAGAGAAGAGTGTGAGTTGGGTAGAAAAGTACTCAACTGTTCCTGTGATTACAGCTTTTCGAACACGAACCTTACTTGAGTCTGTCTAACGGGTGTTCTTTGGCGCCCAGAGGTGGCTGCCTATATTTACTTCTACACGATATTGCTCTGAGACGATGTTGGGTAATCAGAGTGTGCGAATCTCAAGTACACCGAAGACATGTCATCATGCCAGAGATAACCAAGTCCTTAATACGTTTGCAGTGGTGGTCATAAAAAGTGGGGTCTCTCATCCGGGGCATTGTTATATTTTCCTTGGAGCTGGTTGCTCCTTAGCGGATGCCAAGCCTAGCTCGGAGACGGGCTGGGTCTTCCCCGCCGATCGCAATTGGAAAAATTAACTTACTTCGGAATGATATTAGTCTATGCTAACCACGCAGCTCTTGGAGTCGTCCTCAATTAAGTTAATTTTTTTAATAAAATTTTCAAATCTGCTGGCGCTGAATGACTTCGGTTTATAGAAAATTCTTCTTCAAAAATAATTTTCTTTAAATATTTAAATCTCGAATAAATTATTCATCCCCGAATGTCGATTGAAATAAGCAAATAAATACATATATATATGTATGCATGTACAAGTGTGTTTCAACGCTGATTGCGAAAATCATTTGCATTTGCCGCAGCCGTAACCTTAGCATCTGGTTTTGTCATTCACAGAACCGCAACACCCGCCCGCAGAGCAGAGCAGAGCAGTACAGAGCAGATTCTTCACTTCAACTACTCATTATTTGCAACAATAGAAATTATTATTATTATTCTCATTACAATCCAAGCGCACACATACATACATACATACTAATATACATACATTAGCATTTCTACTAGCATTTCCATTATCCATACACACACACACACACAGACTGGAAATCACACTAACAAATAAACTTTGCATATTCTGCCAATCTAAACTCATTTTCTGTTCAACAATTGGGAAGTAGTGCAACAACAACTAAACATATATACATACACACTCCAGTCGGCAGAAATATCGTGAACGCACAGTTGATTAGCATACGCAAGCTGTCTGAGTTGTTGTTTTAGTGCCACAATCATAACAATCACATTATGTATATTCGCGAAGTACGCGAGTTGAGTTGAGTTGAGCACTCGCAGCTGCTTTCCGCCCACCCAATGATTATGTGACGCTTCCGAGACAATTTTG